TTCAAATATTAATTTACATTTTATCCTTTAAATCATGATTACTCTTAGCAAATGAAAATTTTAAATGTTTCATTCATACCTTGTTTTGGTAGCTAATATTCTAGAGTCTTTTGAGTTGGTTTAAGAGGAATACTTTTTTGGGGGGGCGCGGCATGCGGGATCTTAGTCCCCTGCCCCCGCCCCCCACCAGGGATTGAACCTGCGCCTCCTGCAGTGGTAGCCCACTGGACCGCCAGGGAAGTCCCAGGAATGCTTTTATATTAATACTTTTTGAGCTTCTATAGTATATTAAATGTTTTTGAATGTTTTACTTGGTTACAAAGCTGGGAGCTTGTCTACAAAAGAGCAAAAACAGTTACTAACATTCTTTTAACTAGCATCCTCATTATGCTTCTTTCACCCATTACTGACCATTTGTTTCATGTTTTTAGTTTTGTCTAAATCTTAATCTTCACTACAATTGTTAGATCTGACTATAGAACATAATGTTGTATTTCCTTAGTTTGCTTTTGCATATTGACTTTGATAGAGTTAGAAAGATTTGCCACACTAACAAATAAGCGTCCTTCAATGCAGAGCTACTGTTTTATTTTATGATCCTTTTCTAAGTATAACATCTTTTTTAGATAAGCTCCTGATGGTTCTGTCTTGAAATTCAGTCTTTTCTTTCCTTCTTTTTGTAAGTCGGCTGGAAGTTCTGTGGTATTGCTTTCATAAATCGTTCACAAATTTTTCTTGCTTTCTCCTTTTATTTAGACATTTACATTTACTAACAGATGGGCTGAATTTATATGTTCTATTTCTAGGTTTTGATTTTTTAAAATTAAAAAATCAATGTAATTAAAAAATACATATTTGTATGTATATAAATTTATATATACAAATCAGGGCCCCAATCATATGTATATCAAGTTTTAAAGTTTTTAGCACCAAGATTTCAGATTACGGTAAAAGAGTAACTTCCTCCCATTATCATATCTTCGAAATTCATGAAAATATGTTTAACTATGTATAACTGTTACAATATATGTTTGTCCTGTCCTTTTTGTGTTTATCTCATATTTCCATTAGATTTTCAGTTTCTTGTCTACTAATACTTTTGTTTTGTTAAAATAGATTTGATGAAGGTCACCTTCGAGAAAAGTAACTTATATTTTTTCAATTTATTTTCTCCTGCCTTTCCATTTATACGTTTTTTTAAAAATTAAAATTGAGGTTTTTGACAGATACAGCTGTTCGGCTCTGCAATTTTTATTGTGGGTAAATACAAAGCAGGTAACTTTTAAGACAAGATAATCTTTACCAGCTTTATTTGTACCTCCTTTAAGAACTAGTAGATCAGTAGTTGACATAGCTCATAAGTTGTTTTTTTTTTTAACTTTTTCTCATGGAAATTTTCAAGAATACACAAATCAGGATGCTCTCCACAATGCATTTGATCAGTATGTCTCTTAAGTTTCTTTTAATTTACATTAGTTTCCACTTTTTTCTTTAAACTCTATTCTGTATATATATTGAAGAAACTGAGTTATTCTAAATTTGGCCGGCCGCATACTTTAAACATCGTTTCACATGTTTGTCTAATAGGTAGATTTGGATCCAATTTTCTTGTTGCATTACATCAAACTACATACAGTATCTTCTTGTCTTACTTTTAGTAAGATTGATAAGTCTGGGTATGCAGGCCTGTCACAGAGGAGTGCATTTTAAAAAAACATAAATCAACAAAGCATTATTAAATATTTTATACCTTGGAAAAAAACCAGAAGTGAGTGCATATATTTACCGAAGTATTCCTGCAGCAATGCTCATGGCAGCCCAAATGCCCATCAGCAGATTGGTAAATAAACTGTATATGTGTATTGTGGAATACTACATAGCAATAAAAGGGAACAAATTAAATGATAGATGCAGCACCGCTTATGTTTCTCACAGAAATAATGTTGAGTGAAAAGAGTTGATGCAATAGAGAGCATACTATATGATTTCAGATATAAGAAGTTAAAAATGGGCAAAATTAATTTCTCATTTAAACATATTGTAAGGCCAGTGAAACAATGCTACCTATTAAAAAGTGCTTCTTTCTCCCATTGATTGAAATAGCTCTGTAATCATATACGCAATTTCTATAGGCATTAGGGTATATTTATCTTGCTCCGTCGGTCTATTTATATGCCTGTATCGCATAGAAGTTTTATATATGCTTGTATCATAGAAGTTTTATAACATGCTTTAATATCTTAGAGGGTTTGAACTTTTCTCCAATCATTGTTCTGCCTTTTTAGGATTTTTCTAGCTATTCTTATTTATTCTTTCAAATTCACTTTATAATCAACTTGTCTTGCTTCAGGAAACAATAATCCTGGAGATGTTTTCATTAGGATTGCATTAAATTAACAGATTATCTTAGAGGAAACTGCTACCTTAATGATGCAGAATCTTCCTTTCCAAGAACGTGGTTTGTCTTCCCTGTTGTTCACTTTGCTTCCTTCAGGCATGCTGTTTTATAGTTTTCCTTATATAAGTTTTATATTGTTTATTGTTAAATTTAAGTCTATTTTTATCTTTGCCATTGTTAATGGGGTTGTCTTTTCTATTTTCACTTCATTTTTTTCCATTTATTATTTCTCCTTACTGATTATTATTATATTTATGAGGGCTTGATTTCTCTATGTAATTTTATGTCCTACCATTTTACTACATTTTCTTATTGTTTGGAATAATTTTTCCATTGATTCTTTTGGATTTTTCAATTAAATTTATTATTTGCGAATTGAGGTTGAGATAGTCTCCCCTCGCCCCAAGCCATGCACATCCCCAATTGTTATACCTCTAATTGCTTTCTCTTGTCTAAATGCATTAGCAAGCACCTATCTAATGTTATTTATTAGTTAAGTCCTTATTTTTCTTGACTTTAGTGAAAAAGTCTTTAGAGTTTTCCCCATTAAGGTGCTGGCTTTTTTTTTTTTTAACAGCTGTATACATGAGAGATACTGTACATACTGTAACATTTACCGATTACAGCTGTACAATTCCGTGGTTTTTTTTAGTAAATTTATAGGGTTGTGCAGCCATCACTACAATGTAGTTGTAAACATTTCTATCATTCTGAAAAGTTCCCTTGTGTCCTTTTACAATGACTTTTGTGTTGGGAGGTATATGAGGATATATTTGTATGTATGTGTGTTTATATCCTATACCTTATATTTATTTTTATAATTTAAGGAATTATTCATTTTTAAAAATTGAAGTATAGTGGATTTACAATATTAGTTTAAGGCGTACAACATAGTGATTCAATGTTTTTATAGATTATACGCCATTTAAAGTTATAAAATAATGGTTATATTTCCCTGTGCTGAACAATATATCCTTGTAAGCTTATTTTATACATAGTAGTTTGTACTCCTTAATCCCCTACCCTTGTCTTGCCCCTCTCTGTTTCTCTCTCCCCACTGGTAATGAACAGTTTGTTCTCTATATCTGTGAGTTTGTTTTGTTATGTTCATTTATTTGTTTTATTTTTTAGATTCCACATAAAAGTAATAACATACAGTGTTTGACTTCTTTCACTAAGCATAATACTTTCTAGGTCTATCCATGTTCTTTTTCTTTTATTCTTTAAAAGAAAAAATTTCATTCTTTTTTTAATGGCTGAGTAGTATTTCATTGTGTATATATTAACACATCTTCTTTATCCATTCATCTGTTGATGGACACTTAGTTTACTTCTGTATCTTAGCTATTGTAAATAGTGCTGCTATGAACAGTGGGGTGCATGAATCTTTTTGAATTACTGTTTTTGTTTTCTTTGGATATGTACCCAGGAGTGGAATTGCTGGATCATATGTTACTCCTATTTTTATTTTTTAATTATTATTTTTTTTTTTTGGCTGTGCCGTGAGACGTATGGGATCCTAGTTCTCCGGCCAGGGATTGAACCCAGGCCCACGGCAGTGAAAGTGCCAAGTCCTAACCAGTGGACCACTAGGGAATTCCCTATTTTTTGTTTTTTTGAGAAACTTCCATACTGTTTTCCACATTGGCTGTACCAATTTACATTCCCACCAACAGTGTTCAAGGGTTCCCTTTTTTCCACACCCTCTCCAACATTTGTTATTTGTGGTTTTTTTTTTATGATAACCATTCTGACATGTGAGGTAATATCTCATTGTGGTTTTGACTTGCATTTCTCTGATGATTAACGATGTGGAGCATGTTTTCATGTGCCTGTTGGCCATCTGTATGTCTTCTTTGGGAAAATGACTGTTCAGGTCTTCCGCCTGTGTTTTAATTGGTTGTTTTTTTTTGATATTGAGTTGTATGAGCTGTTTATATATTTTGGATATTAACCCCTTATCAGTCATATCATTTGCAAATGTTTTCTCCCATTCAGTAGGTTGTCTTTGAATTTTGTTGATGGTTTCCTTTGCAGTGAAAAAACTTTTCAGTTTAATTAGGTCCCATTTGTTTATTTTTGCTTTTGTTTCCTTTGCCCTAGTAGACAGATGCAAGAAAATATTTCTACGGTTTATGTCAAAGAGTATTCTGTCTATGTTTTCTTCTAGGACTTTTATGGTTTGCGGTCTTAAATTTAGGTCTTTAATCCATTTGGAGTTTATTTTTGTAAATGGTGTGAGAAAAATGTTCTAATTTCATTCTTTTACATGTAGTTGTTCGGTTTTCCCAGCACTACTTATTGAAGAGACTGTCTTTTGTCCATTGTATATTCTTATCTCCTTTGTCATAGACTAATTGACCATAGGTGCATGTGCATTAATTCTTATTTCATTGCTTGTTTTTAATACAAGTGAGTGTTTAAGTTTTCTTTCTGACATACATTTAGATTAGCAGGCTTAAGTTGTAGCCTGTCTTGGCATAGTGAAAAAGAAGTCTCCTTACAATAAAATGCTGCGCTATTACAATAAAAAGTTTTTTCTCAGTACAGGAAGATAGCGTTTCATGTTCTGAAACATTTTGTCCCATGTTTTCTGTTAAAGAGGATGGCATTCCCTGTGGATATGCTGGATAATTGCAGTCATGAGGAAATGGAAAATTCTGCTGAAGATTACATGTCAGATCTCAGGTGTGGGGACCCTGAAAATCCTGAATGTTTTTCTCTTCTCAATATTACGGTAAGGCATCCTGCAGTGATTTATTGATCTTTTCAGTTGAGTTTATCCATGAAATCAGTATCCTTTTATTATCTTTTAAAGTGTTAACTAATCACTTTTGAAAATTTTATCAGAAGACTTTTCAGTAAAATGGATAAATATTGATTAGTTAGTACAGCAGCGTGATCCAGTTTTAAAAAGACTAACTTTACAGGCAGTTGCTTATTATTTGTATTGTGCCTTTAAAATTATATGTAAGTAGTTTACTAGTTTTGCTAAGACTGATTACCATATTTGAGCTAACCCAATTAAGTCTACTTTAGATTTGGAAATTGTTATTTTAGACATTTTTTTAATAAAAAAAGTCAGCAAAACACTACATTACACATTTTTGTGTCACAAATCTTCCTTTTCCCAAAATATTAAAATAAAATTTCTAATTAGTAAACTGAGATATATTTTGATAGATCATTAGACATGAAATTATTAGAATTCTAGTGTGAATTTGATGATAGGCAAATTCTCTAACCTCTTTAGGCCTCAGGTTTTTCTTCTGGAAGATGATGTTTATTCAAAGAATTCTTTAAAGTTTCTTCCAACATCAATATTTTGTAATTCTCTGAATGGCAATATTGTGTGTAAGTAGGGAATTAGCGTTGGATTAATGAAAGCAGAAAAAATTTAAAGTACTGCATATATCTTACTGGAAAAATGAATTTACCCTAGTGGTTTTTACTAGAAAATGGAATTTTTTCTCCCTCAAGTGGTCTAAATAACAGATGATAAAGTTTAACAACTTTATGGATCATATCATGCTTTTGTTTTTATTCATATGCGTAGCTAGAGCGCAATAATATTTATTGAAACAGACTTTCATTTTTTCGCCCAAGTTAATAAAATTCCTGCAAAAGCGAAGTCTATCTGATTTGCTCTTTTTTTTTTAAGACTAGAAATATCTCCTATGAAATGAAATTATATAATTAGCGTTAACGTACGTTTGACATTTTGATAGAAGCATGGTGTTTTTGTGTGACGTTTTCTTACCAACTCTTCACTAATCTTTAGTAAATTGTCGTTTCAGATTCCTATTAGCCTGTCAAATGTAGGCTATGTACCTCTCTATGGTGGAGATCAGACCCAGAAAGTTCTTGCTCTTTTTGCACCTGAGGACTCACTCACAGGTCTCTGTTTTGTTTAATATTTGTAAATTGAGGAATTTTTTTTCAAACAATTAGAAATTTATTGAAAGATAGCTACATGAAGGAATTTTTAAAAAGAAAACTTATTTCAAACTGTAAATTCAGGAAAATAAAATTCTCAGTTGCTTATAATTAAATGTTTAGTGAGTGAAATACAATAAAAATGGTATAAATGGGGCTGCCACATTGTATTGTAAACTATGGGTATATTTAAGGGTATCCTTGAAAACCTTACCAAATAGTAATATCGTGTACTTTAAGACTTAAATGTTAACAATCATTTATTTTCTTTTAGCTGTGGCACTTTACCTTGCTGATCAATGGTGGGCTATTGATGATATTGTGAAAACATCTGTCCCTTCTAGAGAGGGACTTAAGCAGGTAACAAGATCCTGTAGTCTTAAAAGTGTTTAGGAGGCCATTTCACAATATGTTTCCCATAAACAGTGATAGTTTTTGAAGTTATTGAGCTTTTCTCCATTTTAGTACACCAGGTTATATTAAACCCTTAGAGTTCCATTGTTAACAGTGAAACTGGCACTTAGATTGGGCTTCCTTGATTTTATGTGAAAGTGTCTGAGAATTGGGGGAGGAAAAATGAGTACCTGTGGTTTAGTTAAGCTGTAGTTACCCATATCAATTTTAGCTTCTGAGTTCTCTTTTTGGGTGGGAAAAAGCTTATTATCTCTGTGTGGTTGCTTAAGTTCTCTGTCTCTAGGAGAGACTGACCAGTAAACTTGCTTATCAGTAGGGCCATTTTGGGTGGTCTATTCAGCGTTCCAAACAGTGTAGTGGAAGGGAGGTCCTCAGCAGCATGCTGTAAAACTGGGTCCTTTATTCTGTCTTAGTCACCATTTTATCAGTTACTTAGAAGAAGACATAGTTGGCATACTTACCAATTCTGCATGCCACAGTGCTGAATGGGAGAACTAATCCATAAAGGCAGAATTAAGAAACAAAGAGAAAGATCTAACATGATGAAAATAAATTAGTGAGAAAGGTAAAGTAGTACCTGTGGGTTCAAAAATTTAACTCTACTGTATACCATGAAGACCATACTAAAACAGCAGCACATATGAAAAAGATTGGGCTTTAGTTAATTAGAAGTAAAATCAAAGAAAGCAAAAAAGCTAATAAAAACCTTAAGTTTATACAGAAAAGCCCCATTATCTTATCAATATCTTCGATGTTTATACCTGTAATATCTGCATGCCCAACCTGAAGAGAAAAAAAAAAAGGGATCTGAAGCAATTTGAAAGGAGAAGACTGAAATGGCAAGAGTACCCCAAATCATATTAGATAAGTCTTTTCCTCTGTTTAGCTTTGATAGGAAATTTAAGAGAATATCATGGCTGTCTTCAAATATTTGTAGACTATGTTATCCAGAATATCAAAGTATAGTCTTTGGGAAAGAGATTTCAGCTCAGTATCAGAAAGAATTTCATTCTGGTCAGAGCTATTCAAGGAAAGGCGTGGGATACCCTGTAAGTTGGAGAGCTTTGTCATTTCATGTGGTGTTCGGTATTGGAAATTCTTACCGGGGAGGTTTTGAGAGTAGTGTGTGTATGCCTAATGCTTTTTCTCTCCTCTCGCCTAATTAGAGGACATTCTTGTTTTTCTTTAAGGAGACTTGGGGTGGGGTGGGGGAGATAGATTTCATGGATAGACTCTTGTTTTCAGCAGTGACAGATGTCTATGGGGAAAACCCCACTGTTCAATGGCAGGCAATTGGTGAGGGTGTCCCTGTGACCATGCAGACCTGCCTGTAGGAAGTGAGGTTGTTTCCATTCTGTGATTGCCCCAAGATTTGTTTTCATCAGACTGCCCTGGTGCCCCTGTCATTGCCCATCTGGTCTGGCAGAGGGTTATGTGTGTATGTGTGTAGGGGGAGACAGGTATTCCTTATAGTTAGACAACAAAGACATGACTGTTAAATGACCATTTTACCTAGAAAAGATGAGAGAGATTCCTTTCCAAGAGCATAATTATGGCTTTGCTCATCAAATGAGATAATCATTGTTTTTAAAGTCTTCAGGGCATAACACGAAGCTTTTTTCACTTTCTTTTCCTTCTTTCTTTTTTTTTTTTTAATGTGTAGGCTGGAATGGGGGGATAAGAAGCACTAGAAATGGTGGGGGGCAGCAGTTAGAGTGGGGGAGACCTGGGATCTGGGCAGCTGGAAGCAGAAAGAGAGCACTGACTGCTAACGTGGAGATGCTGGGGATTGGTATATTGGAAACCTGTTTTGCCTGTTTTAGAATTTTGCTGAGAGGCATTATTTCATGCATAACTTGTGTCCATAGAAATGGATTGTTATTGGTATGAATGACTGGTCTCATCTTTGTGATAATAAAATGGTTTACAAATCATTCTGAATGTATTCAAAGTGCCTTGAATGTCAGTACAAGGTATGGAAGCAGGGAGCAAGGTAAACTGCATCTCTGAGTTGATGCTAACTGTTGTGCCTGGTGTCTCATCTCTTTGTAGGTGAGAACTCTTGGGGAGAGAGTGGTTCTGTATGTTCTGAATCGAATTATTTATAGAAAGCAGGAAATGGAGAGAAATGAGATCCCATTCCTGTGTCATAGCAGTACTGATTATGCTAAGATTCTGTGGAAGAAAGGAGAGGCCATTGGGTTTTATTCAGTTAAGCCTACAGGTGAGTCTTTAAAAGTTATTTAAAATATATATTATGTAAACCCACTTTTTGGACCCCAACTGTATCAATGTCCCTTTTAAATTAGTATCTAGAGTACGAATTGAGATGATTTTACTCAGTATTTCTTGGGAGTACTTTGATTCTATGTAAGTGAGGATTGGTTAGGAAAGTCTTTTGAAAAAAAAGTAAACATTTAACAGAGTGGAAAATTTCTCCACGTATGTAGACAGAGAGTTGTATGTTGAGCCTTGTCTTCTTTCCCTCTCGTTTCCTTCCCTTTATTTAAAGGTCTTTGTTTTACTTTGATTCCTGCTGCTATCACTATTACTGGCTCGTTTTAAATCTCCTGTCTACCTGTGGACCAAATGCGTAGCCTTTTTCTTCTAGTGTAGCTGATTCAGCCTGATATAGTAAAGCAGCTAAAGCAAAGTACTTTAATATATTTAGAGAATCCAAACAGCTTTGAAATAGTCAATCTTGTAAAGTTTTTATTTCTGATCCTAAGACCCAACTATACCCTTTTCCTGAAAGACTAGTGCAGCTTCATCTTGCTTTACCTGTTTTCCTGTTCATTCAGTTCCCTAGAGCTACTGGAGCCAGAAAAATCAAACCTGCTTACTCCATGTACACATATACCCCACACCTTACAACCACTACACAACAAAGGCAGCCTTGTTCTGTACCTTGGCCAAAACACCTTTCACAGAGAGTACTCACATCATTTTTGTCTTTTTAATATTTCACACTTGCCAAATTTAGCTCTTGTGGTCAGATGCAGTCTAAAGATAATACCAAATTTCCTGCTAATTTGAAGGACAGTTGTGACTAATACCTTAATAGTATAATTAGTACACATTTATGACGAGAACATCAGTCATGATGAGTACATATAGTCAGTAAAAGGAAGGTCACTTTTTCTCAATAGAAAAACTGTGATCAGTTTTAAATGTTTTTGCTGTTTAGTAAATACTTTAACTCTCCCTTAATATGCTATTTTATTCTTGTATAAATTTGAAGTAGAACCAATAAGTTACACAACTTCAGAAAGATATCATCATACAGAGGCAGAATAATAATGTTTGTTAAATGGAAGCTTAGTGCTGCATTGCATAAAAGGCATCACTTTATTGTTTTTAAAATGTTTTCATAAGTTTGAGGCTGGAATATGGTTTAATTACTTTATGCTTTATTTTATACAAGTAATTCCTATGGAATTGGAGGCTTTTTGCTGCTCACGCTGGCTGCAGTGGGGTTTCCTACTTGAAAGTAGCTCATAGACGTTTGAAGTACATAAGAGTTTATGCTTTCTCATTTAGAGCATCTGTAGATGAAAGATATACAGTTAAGAAAGGACATAGCATTCCCCCCTCAGTATTTCTGATCAGTATTTGATTCCAGGCATTGGCTCCTCTTTGCTTTCTGTGTTTTGGGGGCTCCTCCACTCCTTTGGGACCTGGCTTCTATTTTTACTTTTTCTGTTAGTCAACTCAGTTTCATATGCTGGAGCTTCAAAGTACTACTTGTCTACCCCTTTTAGCACCTTCCATACTTCTCTACTAATTGCCTTACTTCCTTACTATTTATTTCAGTGTTTTCCTGCTTTAAGCTCTGGCTCTCATCTGCCAAAGAACAGTGGCATTAGATGTGCTTATGCTAGCCTTTGGATCAGTAACCATCTAATTCAGTCTGGCAGTGTTTTTTTCTACAAAGTAAACCCAAACATAGAATAATTTGAAAAAAATTGTCCAAAACAAATACTGAAACACTTTGTGATATAAGTATTCCTAATGTACATATCAGGAAAAAACTGTACCAGTAGCAAAAAGATAAAATCTTTATTAAATACATTTGTAGTTGAATAAAAGCCTTATGATATCACTTATTATTTATGATTTTTTTTTTTTTGCGGTACGCGGGCCTCTCACTGTTGTGGCCTCTCCTGTCGCGGAGCACAGGCTCCAGACGCGCAGGCTCAGCGGCCATGGCTCACGGGCCCAGCCGCTCCGCAGCATGTGGGATCTTCCCGGACCGGGGCACAAACCCATGTCCCCTGCATCGGCAGGCGGACTCTCAACCACTGCGCCACCAGGGAAGCCCTGTTTATGATTTTTAAAAATAAAATAGCAAATCAGTATATAGGGATATTAGTTGGAACATAAAAATAGCCTTGATATATAAGAGGGGACTTTGTTTATGAGGTCAAATCCTATTATAGTATAATGAAATTCAAGAAAGTATATAAATTTTTTTTTTTCCCGAAATAAAGAGATTACTATGAGGGATGTATAGTTTGTTTGTTTCTTGGGTTAGGTAGATGTCAGATCATTAAAAATAGTTTTTAACAGTAGGTCATTGTGTAATATCTGGTACATAACTCTAAAGGGAACTTGCAGAATTGGGTAACATCACTATAATAAGATTTTCTGGTCCCTTCTATGGTTATTAAGCATTTTAATCTATAAAAATAAAAAATAGGAACAGGATTAATGCTGAACCTTGTCACATTCTGGTAGTAATATTTGTTCATGGACTCATAAACTGAAAAAAAAAAAAAAGGTAAGCTCCATGTATTTCATTGAGATGTATTTTCAATAAAACTTTATTTTTTGCTGAATAATTAGTTTTCCCAATGTATAATAGTTTTCCAAATGTATAATATACTTGTGTTTTGATCCATCATATACTAATATTAATTATAATGATAACTCAGAATTTCTTTTGAATTGATACTTAGAATCTTATGGTCACAAGAAACTTAAAAATGTATATTTTTATATACAGATACGTTTTGCAGAGAAGAATGATTAGATAATCAATATATAATCCAAGTATAAAAATATATTACATTAGGGTAATAGTCTGTAGTATAAATATAATAGAAATAGAAGGTCAGGGGTGGGGAAGGAACAATGTAAGCTTTTTGAGTGTTAAGAGTGGTTAGTTCAATAGTAAAGGAGCAGGTTATTCAATGGATGATGACAGTTATCAAATCAAATTGATAATAGTTTTTAGGGTCCATTTGATGCATTTAAAAGAGTAGTGATATAGTGTTTTTCTTTAATCAATATTGTTTAATTGAAAAGGGAAACATAGTAAATTTACATAGCAAATCCTGGCAGATACCATGTTAACTAATAGATCATGGTTAACATCACCAGCAATGAGACACATCATGATCAGAGACCCCAATTTATGATGTAGTGAGAAGGACATAACGTCATTTCTGAGGTATTTTTGCCCAAAATGCATAACCTCAATTTTTTCATGAGAAAACATTAGACAAAGCCAAATTGAAGGTTATTTTACAAAATAACTGATCAGTAACCTCCAAAAGTATCAAGATCATGAAAGACAGGGAAAGGTGGAGGAATTATCAAAGATCAGAGTTGGGACATTAAACTAAATACCATATGGAATCTTTGATTGGATTCTGAAAGAGAAAAATTAGTAGAAAAACTGGCAGAGTTTGAATAAGGCCTGTAGTTTAGCTAATAGTATTTTATTAATGTTGATTTTCTGGTTTTGATAACAGTACTCTGGCTATGTAAGATGTTAACATTAGGGGAATCTGGGTGAAGGGTATGTGGGAACTCTTTGTATATTTTTGCAACTTTTCTGTAAGTCTAAAGTTATTTTGATGATAAATAGTTGTTAAAAAGTTAATGTTATAAGATGTTAGAAATTACATTCTTTGTAATTATTGAAACTTAAGATGGAAATTTTAAATGTTACCAAAATGTGTGAATACATGCCATCTATTTCAATATTATTTAATGGTTACATGAGCAAAAAAGTACTCTTTGAGGAATTTGACTGGGCCAAGAGAAAAAATATTCTAAAAATACCAGTATAAATGGTTCCCCTGGGAAAGGTCCCAGTCATTGTCAGCAATCCCCACCTCGCACACTGATCAACTTTTTAATGTCTCATTCTTTTTTTTAAAAAATATTCATTTATTTATTTGGCTGAGTCAGGTCTTAGTTGCAGCACATGGGATCTTTGTTGCAGCACATGGGATCTTTGTTGCAGCACGTGGGATCTTTTGTTGTGGTGCACGGGCTTCTCTAGTTGCGGCATGCAGGCTCTCTCTAGTTGTGGCGTGTGGGCTCAGTAGTTGCAGCACACAGGCTCTCTACTTGTGTGTGGACTCAGTAGTTGTGGCTTGCGGGCTCTCTAGTTGTGGTGCACGGGCTCAGCAGTTGTGGTGTGCGGGCTCTCTAGTTGTGGTGTGTAGGCCCAGTAGTTGTGGTGCACGGGCTCAGTAGTTGGCGGCACTTGGGCTGTCTAATATGGTGCACAGGCTCAGTAGTTGCAGCACATGGGTTCTCTAGTTGTGGTGTGTGGGCTCAGTAGTTGTGGTGTGCGGACTTAGTTGCCCTGTAGTATGTGGGATCTTAGTTCCCCAACTGGGGATCGAACCCGTATCGCCTGCATTGGAAGGCGGATTCTTAACCACTGGACCATCAGGGAAGTCTCTAATGTTTCATTCTTAACTATGAACAAATAGCTTAGCTAGGAAAAGTCACTGAGGAGATCAAAACCAAAAAAGAATAAAAGCAATTTGGAAGAGACAGACAATGCAAAAACAAACAAAACAACTCAATATTTGTGGAACGTAAGAGTAGTTAGTACATTCATAATGGGAACAAGATATATTAAAAGAATGTCCATAGAGCTCTTGGAAGTTAAAAACTCAGTATAAGGGAGATAAAGTTGATGTTGATTAGAAAGGAGAACAGTCATAACAACAACAAACCCTAAATGATGGAAAATAGGAAAGAAAAGATAAAATTAGAGGAGCAGTCTGCATAATAGTTGTTTCAGGAGAGAACAGAGAAACTGGAGGGGAAGAAATCACCAATGAAGTAGTTCAAGAAAAGTCTCAGAATTATAGAACATGTATTTCCAAGTTAAAAAGGCCCATTGAACATCCATCGCAATGAATGAATTAAAATAGGCCCATGCTGAGGTAGATTGTTGCAAAATTTCAGAACATCTGG